CCCCAAAACCCCAAAACCCCAAAACCCCAAAACCCCAAAACCCCTTTTCATAATGTTTGTTTTGAGTATTCTTAAATTTAACTTTTCTTAGAAAAAAGAATAAATATGACAGATATGGCTCTAAAACAAGTTCAACGACTATAGCCATTTGTGAAAGAGGGTTAGACAAAGTTTTTCTCTTCGATTTTCTTACATTCACCACCATTCTTAGAGTCGAGTCTTGCTAGATAGTAAGCTCCATCTGCTGAAATAACCACTAAATTGTTCTCTTTGGTGAATGCACAGATTGTTCGAGAATCGGTTATTCTGAATTTAGCGAAGCTCCATTCAGAATCAAAATATTTGGAGAACTTTTTCATGAACCTAAAAACGTGTTTATTGTTTTTAGGTTTTGTTGCTACTGCTTCTTCCTTAACCTCTTCTTCATCCTCATCTTCCCTTTTGAGATGCTTAATTCCCAAACGACTGAGGGAGAAAATGTGAACAGTCCCTTTATCAGATGTGCATCCTAACCACTTAGAGTTGACATCAATTGTCAGGCTATAAATTTCAGCTTTATCAGAGCCCCTTCTCAGTTCTTGAAGGGCTTCTCCAGTAGCTGGGTTGAAAAGCCTGATGATTGTCCCTTTATCACTTGCTGTAGCAAGGAGGGTCCCATCAAAGTTTAGTGTAACTCAGGACACTGACGAATTATGAGCTTCTATTGAGTGAGACTCTTCCATATCAATGTCGTCATAAATATTAACTCGAATCCATCCTTTCCCTTTACCTAGGCATGCTAGGAATGTCTTATCGGCTGAATAACTAACTGATCAGAGGCCTTTAGGATTATCAATAGTTTCAATGGCATCGATCAGCTTAAGGTCTCCAAAATTATAAATATATATTCTTGTCTCTAGTACAACAATAACTTTATCTTTTCTAAGTCTAACTGCTTTTACATGGTCTTTGAAGGACAACTCTCCTATACATTTCTGCTGATGGTCATCCCAAAGCATTACTTTATTAGTAGGGTATTTTGGATGGCTTCCGCCTCCCACAATTGCAAGAATGTTACATCTGAAAAGCATCTCAACAATACCGATTCCGCCATCAAACTCTCTGCTAAATGTATCTTTATAGGGATAAGTGTTGAATATCTTGAAGCCAGTGTTAGTCCCACATGTGAAGCAGCCTGCATTCTGATTGAAGCCTAGATAGAGTATCTCTTCTTTGTCCATTTTTTAATACTATTAGTCTTACAATTTTATTAAATGTCAGGGGTTTTGGGGTTTTGGGGTTTTGGGGTTTTGGGGTTTTGGGGTTTTGGGG